GGGAGTAACACATGGAGAGCCAGTGTGGTGTAGTGGTTTGAGTTCTGGACTAGGACCTGGGAGACCCGGGTTCAAATCCCTGCTGGACGATGAAGCTCACTGGATGACTTGAGCCAGTCACTGCCTCCCTCACAGGGTTGTTGGGGGGATTATATGTGGAGGACCATGTATGCTGCCTTGAGCTCCTTGAAGAAAAAGGTGGGATAATAACAAATACATAAATAAGGTACTACAGTTACTGAGTTTATTTGAGACTTCTTCTACTTTGTCCTGCAGCTATGAAGTGCAGTGACATCTCTCCTTTCTCTTGTCTCCCTCTCCTGCCACAGAAATTGGGATTTGTTTTGGTGGTAGTGTAGAGCCTTTGGTGGGGTGTGGAGCCTTTGGCTGAACTGCAGTTCCCATCATCCCTGGCCATTGGCCATGCTAGCTGGGGCTGATGGGAGTTGGAGTCCAGCAGTATCTGATGGGTGGGGCACAGTTTCCCCATCCCTGAGCTAAGGTGATGGAGATTAGACTTTGTCCTGGGTTCTGCCGCTTAGATTTTTAGCAAAGGAACAGGAAGGCAGAGCCGTTTGCCCCTAATTAATTGATTTTTCTTCTGGCTTTCAAACAGGCCCTCTGCCAACTGGCAACCACAAGCTAACCTCCAAGAGAGGCACTCATCAGTACCAGCTATTGGCTGTTACCCTGTCAAGAGCAGCCTTGGTGTAAAGGATGATATGCTTTGGGGAAAAGAGAGCCACCTGGCATCCCCTTTCCTCCCCCTCTCTGTAATGTAACCCAGATGCTCTCCTAGCTCAAAGGCTGCCTGAGTCTTGGTCTAATAGGTCTCATTGTCTTTTGCCTCTGGCGGCTGCTAGCTTCCTCCTACTGGGAAAAGGCATTGCATGGCCTACAGAGCCCCCCCCCCATCACGTTTCTGCATAAAGCTATGCTATCTGGCAAAATCCAGGATGCAGAGGAAAATAATGGCAGTGCTTCATGTTTTTTAAATAGAGCCTACTGCTAAATCAGGACTTGCAGAGCATGTTTGTAGCACACAAAGCCTGCTCCCATCCCCCTAACAGTAATGTTTGCGCCTGCATGGTTTTATGCCATACCTCAATGCAGGGACAAGAGCTCTGGTAGCATTTGGAGGCTCCCTGGCCTGCCCCCCCTTTTTTCGTTGCAAAGCAAGCAGCTTTTGTGATGGGTAAGAGGGGACAGACCTATGTGGGAGGGCACAAGTCTAGCAGCTCCCTGTAATAAGGAGAGTTTGTTCCACTCCCCTCTCTCATAAGCCATTCAGGGCTTAAACCACAAAGGACAAGAGTGGAAGAGTTAAGCTTCTAATATCTGTCTAAAAGGGGACCTTGGAGTGTGTGCATGATTCTGCCACTGGGGAGACTGTATTCTGTCCTTTTCTGCCTTATTTGTTTGTTTCTAATTCACAAATAAAAGGGACGCGGGTGGCGCTGTGGGTTAAAGCCTCAGCGCCTAGGACTTGCCGATCAAAAGGTTGGCGGTTCGAATCCCCGCGGCGGGGTGCGCTCCCGTCGTTCGGTCCCAGTGCCTGCCAACCTAGCAGTTCGAAAGCACCTTCTGGTGCAAGTAGATAAATGGGGACCGCTTACCAGCGGGAAGGTAAACAGTGTTCCGTGTGCTGCGCTGGCTCGCCAGATGCAGCTTGTCACGCTGGCCACGTGACCCGGAAGTGTCTGCGGACAGCGCTGGCTCCCGGCCTATAGAGTGAGATGAGCGCACAACCCTAGAGTCTGTCAAGACTGGCCCGTATGGGCAGGGGTACCTTTACCTTTACCTTTAATTCACAAATAGGATAGAATCTGAGGTGCTGTTTGGTGGTTTGTATACCTAGAAAGCCCTTGGGATGTTCAATGAAACAAAAAAACAACAAGGCAGGGAGAAAGTTGGAAAGTCACCTAAAATTCCAGCAAGAGCTTGCCCCTCTTTGGATATGTGCTCAGTATCGGAGAAGGTTGGGCTTAAATATTGGAAAGAGCTTGGCATCAGCAAGGAATATCAATTCCCTGTATTGACAGAGTCCATTGCACCCATCTGCATTTCCTGCATACGACAGTGGGTACATTTTAGCTCAAACTGTATGTGACCACTTTGTCTTCTATGAGTAGTTAGTTTGAGGGGTTTTCTTTTAAATTTGTGGGATCCGAGACCTCATGGGTTTTTGTGTGCTTTAAATAGAGTTGTGCTTGATTGTGCAAGGGCAACCTCACAAGCAAATTGTGTATGGCAGAGGGGAAGGTAATAGCAGAGATTGCATCTGCTTTGTGCTGCAAGTCTGACCAAAAACAGGGTGGGGTTCTGTTAGGGTTTGTTGGGTATTCACATTTCATTCTCAGGTAAGAATGATCAACCCCTGGCACAACATCTGGCACAGCTTCCTGGAAAGTCAAGAAGGAGGTACCACCTCTGTCTCAAAATGTTCCCCAAGGGTGAACGCGTTTACCACAAGAGTGGAAAGTGTTGACGCTGCATACTACTTTGTTAACGTGGAGCCCCTTTTGGCTTTCTGAAGACTGAACTTTTTATTTTCCTCCCTTGTTACATAGGTAGGGCAAAGGATGGTCCTTAGGACAATTGCTGGGTCATGATTTCCCATACTAAACACCTTTGCCACCACCCTGCTGGCATTTACTGAACAGCAGCCATGCTCTTGCATGTGCCAGATCTCCTCTTACCTTCTGGTCTTCCAGCCCATGCGTGCTCTTGTGTCTCCATCTGCCCTTCCGTCAATAACATGGGATGGCAGAATTTTCTATTGTGTTTTTGTTGTTGTCATTGTCTGTGGCTTCCACACTGCTGTGAGATCAGCAAGACTATTGGCTGATTCTTCCTAGAGTACTGTGGGTAGCAACAGGGGGTGGGGTGGGGGAGGGATAAGAAGATATTGGCATAGGAGCTGCATTGAATGAGAGAGCCGTGGCCCGCAGAACTGGGTCATCAGGTCTGCTGTGTTCGCTTACACCCTGTAGTGCAAGTCAGTGTTCCTTCCAAAAGGCTTAACCTAGTCTTTTGCTATTGGAGATTATGATCTGACTGCCTTGGGGCAGGATTATCCCATCCCTGCCAAATGCTGGGCTCCTAATGCACCTTCGTCTGGACTCTGGAACATCTGTCGTTGGCCCCGATTTGAGGCAGATCCCAGATGACGCCAAAATGGATCTGACCTAAGGTCATGCATTTTTGTAGTTATTCAGTGATGACATTAAAAAGATATTCATGCAGATATTTATATTGTGTAATAGCCAAGTATCTTCCCTCTGTGAATAATTGGCATAAACAAATGTATTCCTGCGTGCATTGTGTGGTAAAATGGTTGCAATTCCCCAATTGGCTTCTGCCGTGCTGTAAGGCTTAGTTTGCTCAAGATTCCTGTCTGCCTTCTCTCGGAATGTGAGTGCACACATGACTCTTGCTCCTTTGGTGTCTGCTAACTGCACAAAAGGCAAGAGCAGATTTAACCACTCGGAGCCAGCTGCATGCATACCACACATGTCTGACTTGTAAACATGGTCAGAAATGGGAAAGCAAATGGTATCTTCAGAACCCTCGGTTGCTTCAGTCCGCCGTAGAATTCCATCTCTCTGTGAGTGTGTGGTTTTTTGTTTGCTTTTTAAAACCCATAACCAAAATAGCAAGGGTTTCATACCGACTGCTTGTAGTCCAGCTTTGTGAACCTAAGAATAGGTTGGATGCAGAGTGTCTAGAATTCTTCCCTTTAAAAAAGGAAGGGGGGAATAGTGGCAGGGGGAGCAGAACACTCAAAATTCAACACTCAAAATGATGTGTATGAAACGTGCGCATAGTAGACGGATGTAGAAACTCGGGTGTATGCAGGCTATAAAGGTGGGGCTGGCAGAATTCTTTTGGGAGCCCCATAGGCCAGGAGCGGCTAACCTTTCTCAGGATGGGTGAAAAACACTTGAATACCTTACAAAAAGGAAGTTGTGTGTTTTGTGGCAGGATGTGTTGGGGTGAAAAGAGTAATCAGCTGGAGAGACTTTGGTCCCATTGAGTGCCCTGTCAGGCAGAGGTGGGGAAGCTGGGGCCCTCCAAATGTTCAGCAACTCCCCAATTTCCAGCAGCTGCAGCCTGCGTGACCAAGGTCAGGGATGTTGGGAATTGCAGTCCAGCAACGTCTGGGGGGGCCACAGCTTCCCCATCCCTCCTACGGAGCTCACAAAAGCAGTGCAGGTATGCAGAGCATTGTTTTCCTAGTGAGGAAGACCTGAGCCGCTTAACTTTGCCTTAACCACTCTTAACTCTGAGTTACCCCATCTCACATTCTTTTGTGCAAAAGAATGCGTTGTTGGGTATGCTTTGTGCACCAGTAAAGGGCATTGTAATTTATGTTTTCTGTTGGCACCAGGCAGTAATGTATGACTGTGCATATTGATGCATATAAAACAAGCTAACAGGCAGAGAAGGGAAGGGTCAGCATCCTGGGCAGGCACATACCCAATCTCTCCAGAATGTGGCAAAGGGGAAGGGAGCCGCCAGTACAGCAGCCTGAAAGGGCAGAGTGAGCCGCAGGTTGGTCTGCTGAAGACCTGTCCCATGCCACTCGGCTTGTGGGTGGAACTGGTGCTGGATGAAGAAGCTGCTAGAGCTGAGGCTGCAGAGTTATGCGGTTGCTTCATGCCTTCCTTCCCAGCATGCCAACTGCCTCTGGGGGCAGCCAGTGGAGGAGGTAGGTGGCTTTGGGTGGGTGGTCTGCTTGAAGCAGCAAAAACAGCTGAATGGAAAGTGGACTGTCTGCAGCGCATACTTGGGAGCTGGTATGATGTAAGGCGGCTCTTTATAGAAGCTGTTTAGCTCAGCACAGGGAAAGTTATGGGAAACAGGAGGGGAGCAGAGCTTGAGGAATTTACGGTACTAGTATGAGTTCGTGTGCTGCGCTTCGTGAAATCTGTGTGCGATTCAGTGTGTGGTTGCTGATTCCAACCATCCCCCCCCTCCCCTCTCTGTTATGTTACCAGGTACCCGGTACACCCCACGGATTGGCCTGGAGTTGGAGATCTTCAGTTGACACTAGTCCCCTTTCTGTTCTGTGGCTCTCCATGCGAGCCAGGGACAAATGGATGCAATCGCAAGTGCCAGCCTCAAGAGGAAGTTTGATGAGGTGGACGTGGGATCGCCCATCTCCAACTCTGATGATGAGATCTCTAACAGCGACAGCGCAGACAGCTGTGACAGCGTCAATCCACCCAACTCCACCGGCTTCATACGTAAGTCCTTCAGAATGTGTGGCACACCCTGCCCAGGGGTTTTGTTTCATCTTGATGGTATCTTCGGAATAATTTGCTTGCCTTTAATTTAGCACTTAGCCGTAGAAGTCTTACTTCATCAGCAGCGCCCTCGTTGTTGCATCAAACGTCTACCCTGAGAAAAATGAGCATCCCAAGGTGGACCAGGAGGGTGGTGGGTTTGAGGCTCTGAGCAACTACTCCTTTGGAAACCTTTTCAAAAGCAGCACCCTTTCTGTGCCTTTGGCAGCTGTGTGTGGCCTGTGGCTAGTCACCGTTCCTAAACTCCCATCAGCTTGTTTATATAACCAAATGAAACCGACCGTCTTGTAGTCATTGGGTCTTGGGAGACTGGTGGTTTTAATAACACTTTGGAATGCATAATAGGTTTCTTGTCCCCAACATGATCCTGAGGGAGTATGTATCCAGGGTGCTGCCTGCTTTTCCTGTACTGGGCCTTGCACAAATGAATTACGTAAGGAGTTTTAAGGTACTCCAGCGTAGGAGTTGTGCAGTCCAGAATATAGTCATTGACTTTTGCCCTCACTTTACTCTTTTTTCATAATGTTAAGGAGAACTGTTCAGTGAGCACACAGTCTTGTACCCCAGAACTTAAGTCTCTGGGTTTGTCTCTACCAGGGTGGTAGTTAGAGGAGCTTTGTTCAGAATTAACCACAGATGGGAGTCAAATTCTGTCCTGCTACTCTGATAGGTTTCAATACAGTGGTGCCCCGCAAGACGAAAAACTCGCTAGACGAAAGGGTTTTCCGTTTTTTGAGTCGTTCTGCAAGACGAATTCCCCTATGGGCTTGCTTCACAAGATGAAACGTCTTGCGAGTTCTTGCGAGTTTGTTTCCTTTTTCTTAAAGCTGCTAAGCCGTTAATAGCCGCTAAGCCGCTAATAGCCGTGCTTCGCAAGACGAAAAAACCGCAAGACGAAGAGACTCGCGGAATGGATTAATTTCGTCTTGCGAGGCACCACTGTACTTTTTCTTAACTTCACGGTCACTGTTGTCTGGTGTATTTGTGGGGAGGCGTATTTTTAGAGGTGGTTTGCTTCAAGGGAGGAGTCAGAGTTTTAAGGGATGGTTCAGGAGACAAGAATTGGGGGTTGGCAACCGGGGGCGGCCGGAGGAGAGAGAACTTCTGAGTAAAGGAATTCTACACTGACTTCCTCTTCGTTTACTTGTCTGAAAGGTGCTTTTATAAAAGAATGCTAAGATGGGAAAACACCCTCTCACACTTGTTTCTTGTAACGTGCTCGTTTATTTAACTAAACTGCTATTGCAGTACAGCGGCTTCGGGGGACCCATGGCTTCCTTCCATGGAAGCTTATCAGGGATTTCTCGGCGAGATGACCCCAGGATGACAGCTTCTACACTACAGCTGACATTGCTCTGCAATGCACAGCCACGGTAGACTGAGTATGTTGCAGATTGCACACTTGATCTAGTCTAGTGGGCCTGACCAGTGCCCTTCATGGTCTGTGTGCATCACAGTCTTCCCCAATCTGGTGCCCTCCAGATGTTGCTGAAATACAGTTCCCATCAGCCCTGGGGCTGGTGATGATTGTAGGAAACATCTGGAGAGCACCAGGTTTGGGAACATGCACAGATCTATAGCGCCCAGGGATTCCATCATGTTTTGAAAGCCGCTGTGGTAAAGTGCCTATTATGTGAATGATAGGCCAGTTGGGACTTTGTGGGACCCGATGACAAGGGAGCAAAGGTATACTCGTCACTTGCTGTATCCGTACCCTTCTTTCTCTCCTCCCAGCAACTTCCATCCTGAAAAGGCAGAAACAGTTGCGCAGGAAGAATGTGCGCTTCGACCAGGTGACGGTGTACTATTTTGCAAGGCGCCAGGGATTTACCAGCGTGCCCAGCCAAGGGGGCAGCTCCTTGGGCATGGCGCAGCGCCACAACTCCGTCCGCAGGTACACCCTTGGTGAATTTGCCCAGGAGCAAGAAGTGAACCACCGGGAGATTCTCAGAGAGCACCTCAAGGAGGAGAAGCTCCATGCCAAGAAAATGAAGGTACTTTTTTGTAGCCATAAGCATCTCTCCCACTGGCTTGCAGAAGGTTTTGCTGTGTGGCTATAACTCCATGTAGATTTTGGCACATATAATGGGGGCCATTAGCACAGCAGCCATGGGAAATTCGCTTTGTGTGCCCATATCTGTTCATGCAGTCTATAACATTAGCTATATTAACATGTAGGACCCATCTATAAGAAGCGTTAAAGACCAAGTGGCTTCTTACGCCCCTTGGCGCATTTGCAGATCTGCTACTGTTCTGCGTCAGAAAAACATAAAATCTGCTTCTCTGGTTATTTTTTATTTGCCTGATTCTGCTAATCCATGCTAGCTCTGTGCCCCAAACTAAATTCCGTGCCCGTCCATCCCCCGTAGATATACACGGGCCCTTCTCATGATGTTGGGACACAGCTAGGTGCAGTTGCTAATGCAAAGATGGGAGCATATGAGGCTTTTCCCCTAGGGGAAAAGAGCCTCAGCTTGCCAAGAGCTTTCCCAACAAGGGCGTGTGGAGAGAGGGTCCTTTTAGCAGAAAGTGGCTTGCCAGTGAAAGAAGTGGAGGGATTCCCCAGCTTCTTGCGAATGAGGCATCAGAGCAGCACAGCCAGGAGGGGTCTATGAGTGACTCCAGCCAATTCTCCCCTAGTGACCTGGCACCAGCTTTTGCACATCCCCTTCTGCTTTCTGTCAAGCTGATTCATGAGGAGGCTGAGGAGCTGCGGTGAAAGATTCTGGGTCTTGGCCCTACCCCCCGAAGCAAGCGCCTTGTTCCAGCCTTCTCCATATCATGCCTCCTGGCTGTCTGGCCTGTGTGTCCCTGGGGTTGCCTAGCAACTGGGTTTCCCTTACCAGACTGGATGCCTCTGTCTACAAACCTAGAATTTCCAATCAGTCTCTGGCTGCCATGACAACCAGCTGAGCGAAAGAGACAAATACCCTTTCTTATAGTCCTTCCCCTGATTCCTTCCTTGTGCTGCACATACTTCCAGTCATGGGGAGGTGAACCTGTTTTGGGGTTGCACTATTTCAGGGTGCAGGGGTGGGCTCTCATGATGACATGTTCATCCATACTAACGCTCATTAGATTCCATTCAGCGTAGCGCCAAGGAGAATGTTCCATCAGCAGCACAAGGATTTCTCCTTGTGCATTGGAATGTTCTTCTCTCCTGCCCCTGTGCGCCCCCAAAGTCTCTTCAAGGGGTTCTCTCAACCCTCCAGAGCAGATCTGGGGACGATGTACAGGGGAAAGGAGTGTTGTGCAAATGCTAGTATTTTGCTGAATACCAATCACTAAATTATTTTTAATTATTCTTTTTAAAAAGTATTAATAATATTTGCATGTAGAAAACACACACCTCGGGGAGACAGGGGCTAGCCTAGAACCCTTTGTCCTCATGTGTTAGTTTTCCGTGGGTGTGGATTTGCTTATTTAATTGCATTTGAGCATCTCCCCCCACCTGCAGCCTCAAGTGGCACATTCCAGAAACAGGCTTGCACACTCATCCATGAGAACTTCGCCTATGCTATACAGAACTCCAGTCCCTGCAGTTCTGAAACTAAGGAGCATTTGGTTAGGACAGATCAGTAGGAGTAATGCCAAGGCAGTTGATCAAAATACATGCCTGTAATTATAGGAAGCAAACACAAATGAAATGGAAAGTAATTCTACAAAAATACCAATCTGTGGTTCCTGAATTCTGTGGGAAATACACTGTTTGAAGTGCACTCTCCTCAAGCAGGACTTGCATCTGTACACTCCACACAGAATCCAGCTTTCGGAAGACCTTGGCTTTTGCATACGTGTTTGGCAGGCAGCTGAGAGAGGCTTAGAAAAGTATGGGCTATACCTGAAAGTGTGGGTTGTGGGGGTGGAAGTTAACGCAGAGATTTCCAGCGGCCAGAGAACTAGTTTCACGTGGCCACCTTCTTGCCGCCTATTCCTGGGTCTGTCCCTCCAGCCTCCCCTCCCCAACCCCCACCCCACCCCTGAAGCATTCTTGTACAAATGCCCATGCCCTCCTCTCTCCCTGTGTCTACCACATCTGTGTGAAAAAAGAGAAGAAACTACCAACGCCTTCAAAGCTCTAAATTTCAGAAGCAAGATAACAGCTCCCTTCTCGGTGCAGACCCAGCGGACCCCCAGCCTACGGTTTCTGCATTGTCTTCAAATGCCCTGCCTTGAGGATAGGCTCTGACTGCTTCCCACATAGCAAGTAGAGAGAGGGGAGAGAGTGTGCATGTCGCCAGCCTTGTTGCTTTCATCTCCTGCTTCTTCCAAGAATCACAGTTAATGGGTGCGTTTTAATATCGCAGCAATCTTGTGTTGTAAAATGACCTAAGGTCACCCATGTTTCGGCGCCCTCAGCAGGGAAAGTGGGCTTCCCAAAACCAAGCTGCAGCCGTTGCACCACACTGGCTCTCGCTGCTTCCCATTGAACGTGAGCAGCGAAGCCAAGTAACGTTACTGCGACCTCAGTCACTCCTGCGATGAGGCTTTGTTGCATCATGTCTCTGAGGAATAGTCCCTCTGTAATCCTGTGGCCAGTCTGATGAAATCGCTTCCACTTGCTTTGTTTTGTGCAGGCAGGTCTCTTTGCCATTGGCAATACTTCTGGCTGTGAGCACAGGTCTAGGATTTTGGGGTGGGGAGAAAACAAAATTCACTCTGCTCCATACAAGTTGAGGGAGAGCAGCTGTCCTCTGTGGAGCTCCCTGACTGAACTGATGTTCTCAGCTCTGGAACTAGCAGTAGTTAGGCTTTCTGTGTGCTCATTGTCCTCACGGAAAGAGGTGCGTAGACTTCTTTAGCGTAGGAATTCAATGGTCACTCTTCAAAACCATGCATAAGTACAAGAACATGCTTAGGAACCCTGCTGCTTCTAATACTTGGAGATTTGGTTGCATTTCCCAAGAAAGTTCATAAAATAAAAATGGCAAAAATCCTCATGCCTCTGCCCCATTGTAATACAGTTGCCTTCTTTCTTTTCCCCTTTGTGTCTTGTCGGCATGGCGTCCTTATTATGCTTGTGCCAGAAAAGACGAATTATATGGTGGAAGTTCTGATTGCAGATGCATTTGGGGGAAAGTGGCGTCTTATTTAGGTGTAAAAGGAGCAGAAGAAAGAGATGTGGTACTTGAAGCAGCACTGAACTCAGAGAACAGAAAATGGAGTGCAAAACGAGTTGTGCTGCCTTCCCCCAATCATTTTGGTTAAGTTGTCTTTTTAAAACTTAACCTTGCAAAAGATGAAGGCTAGAAACATTCTCCCTCAGGATTCTGTAGAATGCAACGCATGCTGCACTCTCCTGTTCTCTACCTTGCCTCATTCCCTTGAAAGATGCAAGCACCTGCTTGCTGCTCACTCGCGATTTGGGTGCCTTCTGTCTCCCACCTACAGATCAGATTGTAAGCTCTTGCAGGCAGGGACTTTCTGCCTTGGTGTATATTACTGTGTAAGCTACATTGTGCATTGAAAGCATTATATAAATAACCCAAGGCTGAAAGGGTGATGTGCATGGATGCACCAGGGTGCCACAATAAAACATAGAATTTTAGAGTTGGAAGGTACTATGAGAGTCAAGGGACGCGGGTAGTGCTGTGATCTAAACAACATAGCCTAGGACCTGCTGATCAGAAGGTCGGTGGTTGGAATCCCTGCGATGGGGCGAGCTCCCGTTGTTTGGTCTCAGCTCCTGCCCACCTAGCAGTTCGAAAGCACGTCAAAGTGCCAGTAGATAAATAGGTACCGCTCCGGTGGGAAGGTAAACGGTGTTTCCGTGCGCTGCTCTGGTTTCTCCAGAAGCTGCTTGGTCATGCTGGCCACATGACCCGGAAGCTGTCTATAGACAAACACCGGCTCCCTCAGCCTATAGAGCGAGATGAGCGTGCAACCCCAGAGTCGTTCGCGACTGGACTTAACGGTCAGGGGTCCCTTTACCTTTATGAGAGTCATGTAGTTCAGCCCCCTGCAAGGCAGGAATCTTTCAGCCAATATGGGCTCGGACCCATGGCCCTGAGGTTAAGAGTCTCATGCTCTGCTGACTAAGCGATCCCAGTTCATATGCTCTAGTTCTGTTTTGTCTGAATGGGGTAACTGTGCCCTTGAAGGACCAGGTGCGCAGCCTGGGAGTCATTTTGGACTCACAGCTATTCATGGAGGCACAGGTTAATTCTGTGTCCAGGGCAGCTGTCTACCAGCTCCATCTGGTACGCAGGCTAAGACCCTACCTGCCCGCGGACTGTCTTGCCAGAGTGGTGCATGCTCTAGTTATCTCCCGCTTGGACTACTGCAACGCGCTCTACGTGGGGCTACCTTTGAAGGTGACCCGGAAACTGCAATTAATCCAGAATGCGGCAGCTAGACTGGTGACTGGGAGTGGCCGCCAGGACCACATAACACCGGTCCTGAGAGATCTGCATTGGCTCCCAGTACGTTTCCGAGCACAATTCAAAGTGTTGGTGCTGACCTTTAAAGCCCTAAACGGCCTTGGTCCTGTATACTTGAAGGAGCGTCTCCACCCCCATCGTTCAGCCTGGACACTGAGATCCAGTGCCGAGGGCCTTCTGGCGGTTCCCTCATTGCGAGAAGTAAGGTTACAGGGAACCAGGCAGAGGGCCTTCTCGGTAGTGGCGCCCGCCCTGTGGAACGCCCTCCCAGCAGATGTCAAAGCAATAAACAACTATTTTACTTTTAAAAGTCATCTGAAGGCAGCCCTCTTTAGGGAAGTTTTTAATGTTTGATGCTGTACTGTTTTTAATATTCAGTTGGAAGCCGCCCAGAGTGGCTGGGGAAACCCAGCCCGATGGGCGTGGTGTAAATAAATTATTATTATTATTTTATTATTATTATTATTATTATTATTATTATTATTATTATTATTATTATTATTATTATTATATCATAGATAGATTTTTTTAATGTATTGAAATATTTGTATGCTGCTATTTCATTTTTAAAAAATCAAAGCTGCTTACACCAATTACTGTACTACAATAAAAACTACACAAAAATTAAAACAGATCACCAGCTATTACAAGGACACGTGACAGTGGCATAGGAAACTGCCTTCTAAACCAGCTTAGTGGACCGGTATTGTCTCCCCTGAGAAAAGGAGCTCTCTGGGGTTTCAGGCAGAAATCTTTCCCATCCCTGGAGATAGAACCTTGGACCTTCTATGTGCCAAATGTGTGCTGTGCCACTGAGCTGTGACAGGGAACTGGAATTGGATGTGGCTCTCTGTCAAGGGGTTCACTTTGTGGCAAGCCCTGGTTTTCTCCTATGCAATGCAAGAATGCCCAGGAGAGATGATAGTGTCTTCTCCCTTAATTATTATTCCTATATTAATCTGAGCTGGTCTTTTTGACCCAGATAGAGAAGAGGAATAACTCGCTGAGAAATATCTTCCAAAGTCTCTGCCCCCATCTACTTTCCAAGAAACCCTAAATTGCTCAATCTAAGCATTCATCTTGCATATCAAATTGCGCCTTGAATGTGCAGGTTTTCAAAGCGTTTGGAATGTATTTACTTTAAGGAGTGGGGCTTTCTTTGGCTACTAGCCTGAGTGGCTAAGTTTCCCCTCCACTGAATGTGACTTGCAAAGAACCACAAGGGTAGAGTGCCCTGTTGCACTCGTATCTCAGTGGTGAGCTTCCAAAGGCATTTGGCTGGCCATTGAGAAGAGGGTGCTGGGCCAAATGGGTCTTTTTGGTGTGATCTAGCAGGGCCTCTCTTAAATTATTGAGTAGCAGTTGCGGGAGAGACTAAAAAGAAGGGCATGGAAATGGAAGACAGGTGTGTCTTAGGGACTAATGAACAATTGCTGTGGAAGAGGGATAAAGGACTGTGCAGGCGACGGCTGGCCCATCACTTAACTGCCAGAATGCCTGCCAAGCCCTCACCAGACCTGGCCAGGTTTCCTAGCTTCACTCTGAGTGAGACCTGGGCAATTTTTAATTTTTTCTAAGCCTAGAATTCTTGGGACCCTTGCATTCTGTGCTGCGTACCAAGTTTTTGCTCTGACGCAAAGATGTATAGAATAATTTTTCAAATTTCAACCCAAGGAAATTGCTTGTCTCTCCGCAGATTGCAAAGCGGGATGCGGCTTAGAGAGTGTTGAAGATTAACTTTGCTGGTGTGTGTGTGTCTTCTCTCTTCTCCCCCACCCAAAGCTGACCAAGAACGGCACCGTGGAGTCGGAGGAGGCGGATGGGCTGACTCTGGAGGATGTCTCCGACGACGACATAGATGTAGAGAACGTGGAGGTGGACGACTACTTCTTCCTGCAGCCCCTGCCCACCAAGAGGCGCCGCGCCCTCCTCCGAGCCTCGGGGGTTCATCGCATCGATGCGGAGGAGAAGCAAGAGCTCCGCGCCATCCGCCTCTCGCGGGAGGAGTGCGGCTGTGACTGCCGGCTGTACTGTGACCCCGAGGCATGTGCCTGTAGCCAGGCTGGAATTAAATGCCAGGTCAGTGGGGAAACCGCTAGGCTTTGGCCTGAATTATATCACGTAGTCTTTGTCTGTCTGTCTGTCTGTCTGTCTGTCCCTTTGATGTTGAAGCGTGTCCATTTAAGGTCTTTGTGGCTGCGTTCGCCCTGAGCTTGCAAGGAGAAACAGTTGTGCTCCCTAGTAAGTCTGTAAATTAACACACTGGAAGGTCTTGTGGGATCCGGTGGTGACACTTGGGCCTTTGCATCTCTGAGGCAAAGAGAGAGGCAGTCCCCCATTATCTCAGGAGGAATTTCCCCAAATAGAAGGTAATTGTTTCAGACTCTATTTGGGTTTTGGGGAGAGAAGGGAGGGGGACAGCAAGATGAGGTGGATCTTTGTTGTAGGGGAGCTGAAAGGGTTCCTAGGATGAGCAGCCCTGGTTGCTATTGAGCGAGAACTCTGTCCTTGCAGTCTGCATGGTATCCTTATAGTTACTCTGCATGTGAGGTCTGCCGTCCCTCTGCTCCCCTCTACTGGCTGCCTTCTGAAATGAACAGATTAAGAAAAACACTTTCTCCATAAATTTGCAGCATTTGTGCAATTCTAAGCACAGGTTCATGTTTCGTTGTCCCCCCCCCCCCATTATTCTGCTCCTCCTATTCCTGTGGGGAGCATCAGGGAAAACTATTCAGGATCCACCGGAGATCTTGGCTCTGTTTCCACCCCATCCACCTTCTGAAACTTGTAGTATTGCCTGTGCTCTTTTATGCTGTCTTGGCATCCGTTAGAACTACAAACTTGTGTTCTAATTTTTATATTTGCTGAAATGAAAGCTCAGATTCTCAGGATGCTGACCTCCTCATCCAGTACCAAATTCTATGTTTTCACTGTGTAGAATTGGTTTTGCATGTTGTCCTTCTGTTCTAACACAGTCCTTCAGATTGTGTGCATTCTGTCCCTTCCTTAATATTTCCCCCCATATGTGCATCCTTTTCTTCTTCTGCTGGCAGCTTTTTATGTGATAAATGTGCAGTTTTGGTGGGGTGTGGGGGGAGGTCTCAGATATTTTCCCCTCAGTGATGTGCTTCCAGTGGAAGGATATTTAATTCCCAAGCACTAAAGCTGCAGCATTTGATCACTTGTCTTGGCCAGCAGACCAGTTTTTTTCTGTTAGCGTCTAGAAATTGGCTTGGGGAGGGGGCTGCATGCAGACCTGGCTGTCCTATTGCTTACCAGCGGCAGCCTGCATGAATTTTGCATGCTCCTCCCGACAGGAACTTGGCTTCTGTTTACTCCCAGCCTTCCCCCCCCCCAAAAAAAAACCCTTGGCTAGGCTTGCATCATCCGCTGCCTGCTGCAGTGCTCTCCCACTGGGCACAGTTTCACTGTCCCTCAACTTCCCCCACCCAGGTGGACCGAATGTCCTTCCCGTGCGGCTGTTCCAGAGATGGCTGTGGGAACATGGCGGGGCGCATTGAATTCAATCCCATCCGGGTGCGGACTCATTACCTCCACACCATTATGAAACTGGAGCTGGAGAATAAGCGGCAGGTGAGCCGCCCCCAGACTCTGGAGGAGGAGGCCTCCGCCCCTCCCAGCTCCAGCGGCGATTGGCTGGGGGCCCAGACCCCCGAGACGCAGGACTTCCAGGAGTTCATGGCGGAGAACGAAACGGCGGTCATGCACCTGCAGACGGCCGAGGAGCTGGAGCGGCTGAAGGCCGAGGAAGACTCCAGCAGCGGCTCCAGCGTGGAGAGCCTGGGGGTGTGCATTTTGGAAGAGCCCCTGGCGGTCCCCGACGGGTTGTGCCCGAGCCTGTCCACGCCCATCCTCATCCAAGCCCAGCTGCCCCTGGGCTCCTCCGTTCTGTGCTTTACGGACAGCTCTGAGCAAGCCAGCTCAGCCGAGGGAGGCCAGGCCTACTTGAACAATGGGCCGGTTGTGTACTATCAGGTCGACCAAAGGTCGATGCTGGGCGTGAAGGGCGAGAGCAGTGCCGAGGAGCCCGACATTCCCCCTCGCTACCCAGACGAGAAGGAGCTGAGCGTCTACTCCGTCCCGGTGACCTCGCTGGTGCCTTGTGCCAGAGCCGCCGTCTCCGGCAGGGCGGAAGGGGGCAAAGCGGCCCTGTCCCCGGAGCCCCTCGCTTCTGAAAGCTGCCCGCCTGAGGTTCCTCCTCCGCCAAGCCTGTCATTCCACACAAACGTGCCGCAGGACAGTTTGCGGCCCCAGAGTTTGGGGCAGTCTCCAGAGAGGGCCTGTGAGCTGCCCTCGTCGGAGGAGTGCTCCCTGGGACCCGCTCTAGCCGTGTGACCCATCCCGACCCACTGTAGCTCTTAATCTTGGATGTCTATTTATTGGCAGAGAATTTATCTAACGGCCACAGGCCCCCGGGGGATTATTTAACGTGGGGCGTTGGGAGGGGGGAGCGTTGAAAGAGGGACTGCTTTGTACAGGCTCACTATGAAACGAACTACACCCAGGGGGGTCAGGGGTTTCTTCTGCGGATTGGGCGCCTGGACCACGGACAGGAAACGGTCCAATTGGAGCTGCTGCAGGGCAGGCACCTTACCCCCCATCCTGCAAGGACCAAACGTGAATGTGTGTCATGGAAGCAATAGAGTGGAGCCGCCTTTTCTCCCAGAGCTTTTGGGGGGAAGGGGGTAGAAGAGGACGTTGCTACTGCTATGGAATATCACAAATCCATACATGCTGTGGAATCTCTCTCTCTGGCCCCCAGTGCAGCTGCCTCCACCTGTACCCTTTTGTCATCTTTCATTGCTCTGTCTTCTTGGAACTGTGACCTCCTTCAATCCGCTTGAACTGCGCTGGCCAGTTGCACAGCTTTAGGCTCTTACAAACTCTTATTTATGTGACATTTTTGCCGCCCTTCCTTCCCTAGGAGAACTTTTCTTCTTTCCCCCCCATTTTAAATTCCATATGGATTAACGCTGACCGTGACTGGTTACACCTGCAGTTTGGCATGCAACTGTCCATACAGAACCATTGCCCTCTGGGATCCTCCTTGCCCACTGGCTTCATCCCAAGCAGGCTTACTCACCGTCTTGCTGGCTCTGAATTGGGTCCGGTGAGATCGATCAAGTTCCGTTGTTTCTTTCTTAACTAACAAACAAAATGTGCTGAATGTTTACTGGGACTTCCTATGACACTCCAATGTCCATTCTGAGCTGGCGTTTTCTGCCTCTATGATGTTAATCCCTTCTGTGATCTGATTCTTGAACACTCAATGCACTTGGAGCAGGGGGCGGTTTGATCTTCTCAGTGGAGGTAAAGATCTGACCTTTTGGGTGGACAGGGAGGTCCAGCAGAGTAACTATCCTTCTGCCCAGTCGTTCGACTAATTTTTTTCTCCTTCCCGTCAGCTGTTTCAAGATGTTCCATTCTAATTGCACGCTAGTTTGTAGGTGGATCTGAGAGCTTTATATACTCCCTTGATACTTGCTAGCACCCTAGCCTTCTGGATGAATCTGAATATGCAATGCAACTGTAGCCGGCTGGGTTGCGAGCGCAAGGGGTTAGGGTGCAATAAGGTGGCAGTGTAGAAGACTTCCAAGCTGTATGCATCTCCTCAGATCTGCATCGCAAGGAAGGGGTGCCATTAGCTGTTCTTATTAGTCCTAGAATGAAAAGGACGAGGTGGGGTGTCCCTAGAGCTGCCACCTTCCCCCTTGTCCTACTGATGGTTCTCTCACTGCAAGATAACAAAAGCACTTTCTGCATCCACCCTCCCTGGCATTCTTCTCCCCTAGTTTTTTTGTAGTAACAGATTAATGCCTTCCTCTGCAGTTCACTGTTCTGGGCCAGCTTGGCTATCACCATGGCTTCCGTGTGGTGTGCCTTTAAATCAGGAGCGGCTTACTTAATGGCATTCCAGATGTTGCTGGACTCCAAGTCCCATCATCCCTGGCCATTTTCTAAGCTCACTGTAAATGATAGGAATGGTAGTCCCAGCAGCATCTGAGACCCGAGGTTGAAGAACACTGCTCTAAATACACCAGTTTAGCTCGAAACCAGCACTGAACCTTCCCCACTTTATAATCTCTTTCCTTCCCCAGACTGTTCATGACCTCCGTTACTTGCATAAGCCCTTTGGGATATTTAATTTCCTGCCATTCATTGCAGCCTTCCCCATTCCATTGCACTCTGGGTGTTTTTGGACTACAACCAGTGCTATTTTTCTAGAAAAAGAGGTGCCGGAACTCACCATGAACGCTTCCCTTGTTACAACAACAATGGCGCCCACCTGGGAGGTGCTGGAACTGAGTTCCACCAGGTTCCAGCTGGGGGAAAAGCCCTGACTACAACTCCCATCATCCCTAACCATTGGCCAAGCTGGCAAGGACAGATGGGAGTTGTCACCCTGTCTGGAGGGCACCAGGTTGCCTGGAGGATTCCCTAGGCAGTACAAGGCTGCTGTACTTAAATTTATTTAGAAGGGAGGGTGGAATCTAAGCAGCCCATGCGAGAAGCATTCTTCCTTCATCACTTAATTCTATCTGGGAGCTAACACGTGCGTAACCTTAAGATGTATGAAATGTGTGTCGTCTTTTCAGAAGGCAGCTTCTTCCTAAACAGGACTATCTGAAACTGACCGCTGAGCATCTGGCCGGTGTTTTGGATACTGGTGGGGGGAAGAGGGGCTGGTTGACAAGAACCCCAAGCCCGGGATCCCTCTTAAACCATAAAGGTGATGGAGAGAGAACAAAACCATTTTACCAGCAGCTGCACCTAACCCACTTCTTTGCCTCCACCTTTATCACAATGATAAATGGTGGCTAATAGAGATGTAAAAATTGCAGAAATTTTGAAGCCTTGGTGGTGGAAACTGGTTTTTTTTTTCCTGGGGGGGGGAGAAATGGAAGTTTCGGGGGCAATTGAAATAAGAACGTAAGAGCATCTTTCTGGATCATGCCAATGTCCCGTCTAGTCTAGCATCCTGTTCTCACAGCGGCCAACCAGATAATATGCAATTCTTACCAAACCTACATTTATTTTACTGCTTTTAATAACCCAAAACGCATAATTTATAAATGGGCTTATAAAATTTTACTCTGGAATTTCCAGAGCAATTCTATGCATGTTTTCCCAGAACTAATACCTTTTCTGTTTAGTGTTCCAGAGATAAGCGCACGCGGAATTGCTGTAGGCTGCCATCCCCTCCAAGCACTTACCTGGGAGTGAGTCAGTTACGCCAGACCAATGAGACTTGATTCTGAGCGGTCAGGCTGCAAAGGATCATGCTATGGTATAACAGGGTGTCTGTGTCACTGTCACATGAGGGGAGAGGGGAAAAGGTTGACCACAAGGGAAGGACCCAGTCAAAAGGATAGGTGTAGAATATCCACTTCTACTGTGTTCATAGTACACATTTTAAGTGAGCAAAAACTTGCCTTAAAGCATTTAAGTCATTCCAAAAAAGAAAATGCTTCAAATTTCCATTTTTTCCATCAGAGAGTAGATTCTAGGGCAACCCCCACCCTGTTTATTCTGGAAAGTTTCCAGTTTGGTTTTTTTCTGGACCTCCACCTCTCTAGTAACTAAGCACCTTTGCCAACCCATCTGGAAAAGCCCATCCTTCTGAAATGGCACTAGCTCCCAGGGATATATGGTGAACAGAAGCAATGCAGTCCTGGAAATGACAGCAACAGGGAGAGAGGTTTTTCTTTCCTTTCTTCCGGAACAGCTCCTGACCTCACAGTAATATTGCAGCCCATGGAACTTCACACTGCTGGGTTGATGAGACTTCCGACCAGATGGGTGAGTATTTAAGTATATAAAAAGGCTTCGGTACTTTATAACTCCTCCCCGATCTTCCTTTTAACTCCCAAGCTTTCCATCTGCTGCTTAGCGTCAATACCGCACACCTGAGCTTCCTGCGCTTCGTCTCACAAATAAGTACTTAATTGCTGCCTCGCCACCTCCTGCTGCAGTGAACGGTTTGGAAACGGCGCCAATGCGTGCAGGAGCCAGGCTTCTTTGTGCAATGACTTTTGAAACGGGGCAGGGAAGGGAGAAGAGGACCTAGAAGCATCGGAACGAGAAAAGCCTTAAAATATCTATCACAGTCCCATTTGCTGCCTTGCAAAGCAAAGGGTGCCGTGCACACAAACGGGCGTCACTGGCCTCGTTGCTAGGAGGTCTGCTGCTAATATTGGGGGTTTTCTCCCATGCTTCTCTACAACCAGGGCTTGAAAAGGGGCACTGGTGACATTGCTAGGTACCCCCGCCCCCATACTAGACGTTTACAAAATAAAAGGTGCTATTAAAAAGCTGGCTTTAGTCTCAAAGGCAGTCATTTCCAGATGCAACCCTCTCTCTGTAAGCGTATGTGTCTGTTGTGCTTGGAGATTCACAGAGCAGAAGAGTTCTAGCAGAGGAGCAAGGGATGCGCTCCCTCTACAAAGTTGCGCCGTCTGTCGTCCTAGGCCAAAGGTGCAAAGGAAGTAGGGTTGAAATGCCCCCATTATATAAAACTCCCCAAGTTCATCATAACACCACTGTAGCCTTTATGGTGCGTGTCCAGTCTTCACCGTTCCCTGCCTTGTGGCGCGACTAGCAGTGTATACTCGCAGGGTGGACCATTTGTATCTCTGGCTTCCTGCTGATGCGTGCAAGGCAAAAAGGACTCCCCCACCCCACCGGAACACTTGAGCACTTCCAGCTGGCCACTCCAGCACTGGCCTAGGAGCCATGGGCAACTGTGGTGCAGTTGTGGCCTAAAGGAAACGGTTAAAATGCCTGACCACCAGCCCCTTATATTTGTAGCCTTTAAACTCCACACTGCACGTTCCTTTCTTTGGGGATTGGCTGTGATCCGCTCCAAAGGAAGAGGTGTAAATGGGACACACCTAAGCCGCTGGCAAATTCTCACAATTTAAGAACTTTGTTCTTTTGAGTGCATTTAAGCTGCTGCAGCCCATGAATGACAGGTGGCCTGCTCTGCAAATGGAAACAACTTCGCACTTAAATATCTGCTTTTTGAAACTGAAAAAGGAATTATTATGACTGACATTCCAAGAAGCAGAGGGTGTTGAAATAAGTCGATAGACACCCATCTGGATAAAACTGGCATCGTGGACACATACCCAGGCAGCATCTGAATTGCTCCATCTCTGTTGTCCTGGCCCTATGCTCTAATTGTGTCCATGAACCAGCAAAGCTGATCTGACCTTTTGCGCCTGTGACCTTGGAAAAACAAAGCAGCATGTTGCCTTGATGGAAGGACAAAGTAAAATGGCTTTTGGGTGGGATGACCTGGTTGCAAGTGAAAAAAATACAAATCCTCAATTCCAAATCATGTTAGGAAATGGATCTGGTTTTCCTTCACTTGGCTTTTTTTTAAAAGACTTTTTAAAACGCTGGTACAGCATAACCATAATGATGAGCTAGTGTTGTCGCAAAGCGATCAAACACACACACTCCTTCTTTCTCCTCTCCCTGTCCCCCTCCTCTTTTTTGGTGCTAGTGAACTGTTTACATGGGAATGGCCCTTTTACTACCTGTTTGGGAGACTCTTTAACTAGGCCCCAGTTTGAGACATTTGGTACAAGCCCTGCCCCCTTCATCAGTCGTGACTCCGATAACTTCATAACTTGCTCTCCGCTCTCCTGCCTCACATGGTATACAGGTGGCATTTTCAATGTGAATCCAAAGCTTGTCAGGTCCTCTACATTTTGTTTTGCCTTTTATGTTATTTTCATTGTGATAATGCTGTATTTAAAGAGGATATTTAAGTGTAAAAATAAAGAAATGCTTGAACTTGCAAAGCAGTTTCTGTCCTCAATGCAAAAGTTGGCAATAGTGGTTTAGGTTATTGCTGCTCAGTTAATAGTGCTATGGACTTGCAACCTTTCATAATCCTGACTAGAGCCAAGATCACGCCACCAGCTCATGTGCGCCCGCTGCTCTTCCATGGTGCATATTGTCTGCAAAACCACTAATCTAGGGTTTATAAACTATGGGTTGTATTCAGTGCAGTGCTGATGCTTGTTCATGCCACATGCGCTGACACGAGCTCCCCTTTCCTCGCCTTGCCCATCATTCTGGGAGGGGAAGAAGTCCTGTTGCGCTGACTTACACTAGTGCGATTACTGAGTTTAATTGGCCCTATAATTTCAGTCTTGGAGCAGAATCTGCCTTGTAACGATGCACACACAATATGTTTGGTTCAGAAACAGCATCAAGACCACACTGGATAGCAGTACCTGTTCATGCAACTTGAACTGGGCTTACCCTTGTTTTTGCATCATCTGTTTACTTCATTCATAGTGAAATATCAGTGGGGCCTTTCAGAGAGGCTGTGGCTTACTCACCTGTAGAGTACAGCTTGGAATATAGTTAATAGAAGCACAAGCTGTGTCTGCCGCAGCAGATCCCTGGCAAGGAGAGCCAGCCGTTTCATTTCTTGGCAGGGGAATTAAACTCGTTACAAAGAACAACTGGGGTACAGTGTGTGTTGGCCATGGCCCTTGCCTGTATGCTGCATAAACTTACGATCCTGCATAAACTGCAGGACTGATTGAG